TTCATCCAGCTCTGCACCTTGTTGTCTCAGATTCTCCAGCATCTGCAGTTCCTACTATCTCTGATACAATCTATTGTAACATGGTGGGATTTGAACCACAGACCATTAGGACCATAGGGGAACCACTGCCTCCTCATGGTGAAATATTCCATATGTAGGTTCTTGCCATCAACTTGCCTCGATCTCTGGATGACTAATCCATTGATGGTACTACAACAGTGCTTGCTGATTTTCCTCAAACTTTGAGCTCAAAAACATATAAACAATGAACAAGAGTAAGGCACTCGGCCCTTCGAAGCTGTTCTGACATTCAATAAGATTGTGGCTGATTTGATTTTAACCTCACCTCTACGTTCCTGCATCTTTCATCCTCTTGGTCACTAAGAATCTTTCTATCTCTGCCTTTAAAAATAATCAAAGATTCTGCATCCACTGCCTTTTGAGGAAGCGAATTTCAAAATCTCACAATCCTCTGAGAGAGAGAAAAGCGTGTCCTCACCCTCTGTTTTACATGGGCAACCATGATTTTTGAAACTTCCTCTCTATGACACTATCTCTGTGTGTCAGGAACTCATCATAAATGGGTAGGTAAATTTAAACAGCTACATATTGGGGTAGGTGGGATCTGAGTCTGAGCTTCTAGCCCACAGGTAAGGACACTACCACTGTGTCACAGAGCCTGCCTAATAACTCCAGAGCCAGTTGGATGAAATGGCCTGTTCTTTTGTGCTGACCCTTTGGGGGAGGCGATGGCCTGGTGGTATTATCACTATATACTTAGATGTTTTGGGGATTTGGGTTCAAATCCTGCCATGGTAAGTAGTAGAACTTGATTCAGTTCTTTTGAATTGAGAACCTATTGATGACCATGAAACTATTTCCCATTGTTCAAAATACCTATCAGGTTCATTAACGTCCTTCAGGGAAGGAAACCTGCCATCCTTGCCATCTGGCCTACACATGATTCCAGACCCACAGCAATGTGGTTGACTCTTAAGTGCCTTCTGGGCAATTAGGGATGGGCAATAAATGTTTGTCTAGCCAGTGACATCCATATCCCATAAATGAAATAAAATGAACAAGTTATGGAGATTTGAAGGAATTGTTCTTCTCATCCACTTATATCCAGAGGGAAAAAACACTAAGAAAAACAGAAATACTCGGAAATGAACTGGAGCACTGCTCTGAGCTGTACAGTTCAAGCCAGACCAGAATGCACCATTCAGAAGTTTTACTGTGTTTTTTTTTCTCTCTGGGATTTCCAAATACAGGATGGAGAACTTTCTTGTTTATTAATTGCGATATCTAAATCACATACATCTCACTCTGGTTTCTCTGAAGGATAAGAGCTGGTGTCAGTGGGAAGACCATAAATGTTGTTCATGCACAGATACCTGTCCTTTCCTCTTCCTGTCCCATCCAGCAACGATCAGGTGAGCTGACAGCTCCTCCTTGTACTTGTAGCTGATGTTTTTGACCACAGAGGCTGCAGCTTGCACCAATGGGGCATCTCCGGTCTCAATGCTGAAGGACAGAAAGAAGGAAAGCCTGTTCAGATGAGACGTAGAGAGCTGGACGCTGTTTCTGCTGAGAGTTACACCCAGAATCACAGCCCCCTCATTCACACCAGCCCAGGGGCAAGGACTGAACCCTCACCACCACCACCACAGGCACAAGCCAGAAACCACAGCATTTTCTCATGGTGCTTTTGTATTTTTGCTGCTACTGCAAAATCTGGAGATCAGTGTAACACCACTGCGAGGGCATGTAGGCTTGACAGGCAGTTGAGACAGAGAGAGGGTGCAGTGGATCATTTACTGACTGCAAGGAGGTTACTGGAAGTCAGAGGCCATTAAACTGGAACTGTGGAGAGTGCAGGACTCTGCAACTGGACAGGGACTGACCTTGGTGCTATTCTATGCCAGTCGATGAGAAATGCCTGCTGCTCCCAATGGGGAGTCTCTGCTGGTCCCAATAGAGAAGCCTTTGCTGGCACCAGTAGAAATCTCTGCTGGTGTTAATAGGGAGCCTTTGCTGGTACCATTAGAAATCTATGCTGCTCCCAGTAGACAGTCTTTGCTGGTACCAGTAGAAATCTCTGCTGGTCCTAGAATGGAAATTTTGCTCGTCCCAATGGGGAATCTCTGGTCCAAGTGGGGAGTCTCTGGTTCCAGAAGGGATCCTGTAGTGGACCCAGTGGGAATCTCTGCTGATCCCAGTGGGGATGTTTGTGAAGGTGGTAGTAACTCCAGTGCTGCAGCGCTCTCTGTCATGTTCTTCTCCGAGGTTACAAAAACCGTGTTTAAGCCTGGAGCTGGGATTCACTGAGGGGCCCAGTGTGTGTGCAAAGCACTGGCTCACATGGCGGTCTACGAGTTGAATGTGTGAGCAGTCATTTCAGTGAAGAAGGTGCAGAGTTAGTTACCTGTGTAGTTCCAGCTGGTAGTTGACAGAATCGGCTATGGCCTGGGCATCGGCGGCTGAACCGGACAGGGCACAGTAAATCCGATCGTGCAGCGGGGACAGCTTGTTCATCACACGGTTACAGATCGCCTCCCTGTGGGTGCACAGGAAACATCGTCAACCTCCTCTACCCCCAGGGCAATGTGACTGACTCGCCCCTCCAACTAGCCCACAGCAAAGAGACAGTGTGAGTAGGTGGCACGGCCTGGCACAGTCTCACAGTGAAACCAGCCACTTATTCTATTGCAATCTTGGAGCTTAGTATAAAACCGATCCCAGATCCTTATTTGGGGGGACTGTATGCTGAGGACGGATTTCAACAACAGCCCCCTTTCAACAAAGCATGGCAGTGCTCCAAGCCTTACCCTACTTCCAAAATAGTTCTCAGCGTTAAAGGGATCCAAGGAGAGAAAGCGGGGACAAGGGACTGAGTTGGATAACCTTTCAGCATCCTTGTTTAACAAGAATCCTTTCAGCTGTGCCTTAAAAACTATTGAATAACTTCTGCTTCCACCCCTCTTTTTTTGCAGGAAGAGAGATCCAAAAAACTCAACCCTCAAGAGAAAAGGAATACCTCCTGTCTGTGTTAAACGGTGTTGTTAAACAGTGAGTCCTCATTCTAATATCTCCCACAAGAGGAAACATCCTCTCCACCCTGACCCTGTCAAAACCCCTCAAGGATCTTCAGTGTTTCAAATAGATCATTACAGAGTCAGCAAAGCAAAGCAGGAGCTGCCCAAGGCTGAGGTACCAATTCACCAGCACCAAGGTTAGAGTCCAAGAGTGAGACAGAGATAGCAGAGAGGCAGGCCATTCTGTCCATCAGGCCTGTGTTGGCTCTTTGACATATCATTCCAATCAGATGCTCTCCCTGCCCTTCTCTCATGGCCCTGGGCATGATAAATAGCAATTGTACTTTAAGTAAAGATTTGGAAATGGGTCTGTTAGAGACTGAGTTAGATCGACTCTTGACTGATAAGGAAACCGAGAGTTAAGAAGAGCATTCAGGAGCGTGGAGCTGAGACCACAACTGATCATGTTGTGAAGCCCTTGCAGTGTTATACAAATGCCTGGTTGTCTGACTTGAAGTGAAGAATGGAGAGCGAGAGTACCAATGTGAAGTACTTACCCAGCAGAGACACGAGAATCGGAGCCAATCACCACCCCGCCATCAAATTCCACTGCGATTATCGTGGTCTGGAACAAGAGAAATCAACTGGTCTGCACCAACAACAACACTGGAGCTTATCACGTAATAATGCCAACTTCCATTCATATAGCGCATTTAATGCATTAAAATATCTGAAGGGAGTGCTATCAAACTGCACTTAAAAAGATGTGACTGTGACCAAAATCCGGATCACAGTCTCTTGGAAATTAACTGAACAGAAGAAGGCCATTCAGCCCATTGTACCCACAGTAGACCTTGTCCCAATTTCCAACTCTTCAACCACAGTTCTTGCAGCTTACACCACTGTAAGTATGTGCCTGAGTGGGTTTTAATTTTTGTAGCATAAAGCTGTTTGGCAGCACCTAGTAATTGCACCAGAGCCAGTGGCACTGCATACAGACTGTATCATAACCAGTCCTGGGTTCAAAACCAGTCTTCCAGCTACAATGACCAGTTTTCTTTGTGTCATTTTTATATTGTTGGACTGAATTTGGAAAACTGCTTTAATCCTGCATGGTTTGAAAAGGACATAACCTGACGCTCTGGTCAAACTGCGTTTGAAATATTGTGAACAGTCTTGGCCCTGTATCCAAGGAAGGATGTACTAACATCAGAGAGAGTCTAGAAGAGGTTTACAAGAATGATCCCAGGGATGATGTGCTTGTCACATGAGGAGCAATTGATGACTCTGGGTCTGTACTCGATGAGAGTTTAGAAGGATGGGGGTGGGTTTGATTGAAACTTACAGAATACTGAGAGGCCTGGATATGGAGAAGATATTTCCACTATCAGGAGAGAATAGGACCCGAAGGCACAGCCTCAGAGTAAAGGGATGAGAACTGAGATGAGGAGGAATTTCTTCAGCCAGAGGGTGATGAATCTGTGGAACTCATTGCCACAGAGGGCAGTGGTGGCCAAGTCATTGAGTGTATTTAAGGCTGAGATAGATAGGTTCTTGTTGAGTAAGGGGATCAAGAGGTGCAGAGAGAAGGCAAGAGAATGAGGTTGAGAAACATATCAGCCATGATGGTGAGACAGACACAATGGGCTGAATGGCCTAATTCTGCTTCTATATCTTATGGTCTTATGTTTCCAAAGCTGGGGTTTTCAGTTTCCAAAAAAAGTGGTCTCCCATTAAAGACGGAGCTGAGGAGGGATTTCTCCCAGGGAATTCTCAGAATTGTGCTCCTGCCCCCACCCTGCATCTCCAAGAGCAGCAGAGACTGGACCATTCATTGTGTGCAAGGCTGAGTGAGATGGTTTGGATTGATAAAAGAGTCAAGGACTACAGGGACTGACAGGAAAGGAGAGCTAAGGCCATGATTCAGGTTGGCCATAATCTTATGGAATAGTGAGGTGCGTTCCAGGGGCCAAATTGCCTACCACTGCTCCTATTTTACCTATTTCATATGTACTGCAAAAAGCAAGGGACTGTAAACAGACACCTGGTCAAAACCCAGATGGACTACACTGAATGCAAGATCATTATTGGGCCTCCCTGTCACCTTCTGAACTGAAAAACAAATCAATCCTGTCAGAGCAATGTCACCATCAGAAAGTTTGAGGGCTACGGCTGGTTATAGAGAAGTCGGGGGAAGAGGCCATGGAGGGATTTGTAAATGAGGAGGAGAATTTTAAAATCAAGGTATTGGCAGTCTGGGAGTCACTGTATATCAGTTAGCACAGGGCCAATGGCTGAATGTGATCTGGTGTGAGTTAGGAAGTGGGCAGCGATGGGTTTGCATAAATTCATTTTTACTGAGGATGTGAGGGTGAAGGTTGACCAGAATTATAGAGTCATACGATAACAGACCCTTCAGTCGAACTCATCCATGCCGTCCAGATACCCTCAACTGACCTAGACCCAGTTGCTAGCATTTGGCCCATATCCCTCTAAACCCTTCCTACTCAGATACCCATCCAGATGCCTTTTAAATGTCATAACTGTACCAGCCTCCACCACTTCCTCTGGCAGCTCATTCCATACACGCACCACCCTCTGTGTGAAAAAGCTGCCCCTTAGGTCACTTTAATAATAACTTCCGCCTCTCACCTTAAACCTATGTCCACTAGTTTTGGAATTCCCTACTCTGGCGAAAAGACCCTATCCATTCCCCTCATGATTTTATAAACTTCTAGAAGGTCCCTTAGCCTCAGACAGTCCAGAGGAGAAAGGTCCCAGTCTATCCAGCCTCTCCTTGTGGCTCAAACCTTCCAGTCCCAGCAACTCCACAGGAGAGAATTTCAGCAGCAGATAAGCTGCGGTGGGGGGAGTGGAGACATTATATTGTGGAACTGGAAATAGAAGGTACTGATGGAGGGCACATGGGATGAAAAGTGTGTCAGAGTTACAGTCTTGTTCTGGTGGCACAAGTAGCTAGGGAATTGAGTTTGGAGCACAAACTCTTTTACTCCAACTGTTGCTTTTTTTTTGAGAGTGTGGGCCTCCCATTGGCTTCACTCAGTTAATCCTTGCCTGATCCTATTTCCCCTAGATCTGAGCGGCATTTCAGAGTCAACCGCATAGCTGTTGGTTTGGAGTCACACAGATTAAGTAAGGATGGCAGATTCCCTTCTCTAAAGGACATTGCTAACCCAGATGGGGTTTTACAGCGATCGATGATAGCTCCAATTTCACAAGCTGCCATGGCGGTGTCTGAACCCATGCCCCAAGAACATTAGCCTGGGCATCTGAGGTCGCCAGCTCAGTGATACCACTCCCTACACAGTTCTCAGATTTAGTTTTCGGACATTTCTGCTGATGCCACGCTGTATGTCATATAAACAGTGTGACTATTCAGAGGTGGTGGTAAGGTCGAACTGGGTCCCATCAAGTGTATACAAAACAGTCTCCATAGTCCCACTTGAGAGACAGTGGTGAGTTTAACTTAAGGAGTGAGGGTGAAAAGGTAGGACTTCAGCTTGTACAGGAATCGTAGCCACACTGTTGGTATTACTCTTTGTTGCAAACCAGCCATCCATCCAACTGAGCTAACCAACCTACCCATTGGCATATGTCTGAAAACTAATGCTCAAGGGATTTCAAAAGTGGGCAGGGGACCCCGATGAGAAATAGGAGGGTGCCAAGGATAGGCAATACTGGAGGGGAACGCAGGACAGTTAAATCAATACATTCCCCTTGTTACTATACATTCCAGCATCATTGATACTTTGTAGTTTGTAACAAATATCGTGGTAACCTGTTCATTTTGCTACTATATCCTTCCTGGTAGATCTTGAGTTGAGCTGGAAACACTGATTCCAGTCTGATCAATTGTCATCCAGGTCCACAGCACCGAAGAAGGCCCTTTGGCCCACTGAGTCTGCACCAGTCAAAGCAACCAATGAACTGTTCAAATTCCATTTTCCAACATTTGGTCTGTAGTCCTATAATTGTACATCTAAGTACTTCCTCAATGTTATGTGAGTTTTGGGACTGGTTTGAGAAGGGGCACAGGTCACCCATGTCCCTTTTTCTGATACAACACCCTGCTCCTTGTTTTTTGTATTCAGTTTTGGCATAAGGACATTGCTGGCTGGGCCAGCATTTATGGTTCATCAGTTGTTGTCCCCTGAGAAGGTGGTGGTGAGCTGCCTTCTTGAACCCATGTGCTGCGGGTTGATCTACATTGCCCTTAGAGAGGGAATTCCAGGATTTTGATGTAGCGACAGTGAAGGAACGACAGTATATTTCCAAATCAGGACAATGAGTGGCTTGGAGAGGAACTTGCAGGTGTGGCATTCTCATGTAAATGCTGCTGTTATCCTTCCAGGTGGAAATTTCTTGGGTTTCGAAGTTGCTGTCTGAGGATTTTTGGTGAACTTCTGCAGTGCATCTTGTAGATAGTACACACTGCTGCTACTGAGCGTCAGTGGTGGAGGGAGTGGATGCTTGTGGATGTGGTGCCAATCAAGTGGGCTGCTTTGTCCTGGATAGTGTCAAGCTTCTTGAAATGTTATTGGAGCTGCACCCATCCGGCCAAGTGGGGAGTATTCTGTCATACTCCTGCCTTGAGCCTTGTAGATGGTGGACAGGCTTTGGGGAGTCAGAGGTTGACTCCAGGCTGTCACTTCAGAGCAGGACAGTTGCAATCATTTGCCAAGGTTTATTTCTTTATTTGCTCATGGGATGTGGGAGTCACTGGCTAACCAGCATTTATTGCCCATCCCTAGTTGCCCTTGAGAAGGTGCTGGTGAGCTGTCTTCCTGCTGCAGTCCATGGGTTGTAGGGATTATATGATCATTTTGAATGGTAGAACAGGCTCAAAGGGCTGATTGGCCTATCCCTGCTTCTAGTTTCTATGTAGGAACACTAATGCTGCTTTTAGGAAGGGAATTCCAAGATTTCAATACATCAGTGAAGTGTTTCTGAGTAAACATGGAGAGCAACTCACTCCAACGCTATGCCGGTGTCACCACCTCTGCTGGATCTGTCCTGCTGGTGGGACAGGACATACCCAGAGATGGTGATGGTGGTATCTGGGACATTGTCTATAAGGACTGATTCAGTGAGTATGACTATGTCAGGTTTTTGTTGGACTAGCCTGTGAAATATCTCTGCCAATCTTGGCACTAACCCCCAGAAGATAGTGAATTACGAATGTACGAAATAGGAGCAGGAGTAGGCCATTGGTCCTTGAGCCTGCTCTGTCAGTACCTGAATATTTCTGCTTGTTCGTCATAGTTTTCATTCTGTTGTAGACCAGAACACTGTCTAACTCAGCCTCGGATATATTCAAAGACCCAGCTTCCTCTTCTTGCTGGGGGAGAGAGTTCCAAAAACTAACAGTCCTGTCAGAGAATCAATCTTTCCTCAGTCTTCAAACTTTGCCCCCTGGTATTGGTTCCCCAAGGAGGGGCTGCACATCCTGTCAGAGACCACCCCATCAAGTGTTCTCAGTAACGCTGTTTCAATACTGTCCTTACGTATTCTTCCAATGTTTTGGCAATGGAGGGAGTGCAGTGAGGGTACTAGACTGATTCCTGGAATGGCAGGCTGATGTTTGAAGAGAGTCTGGATTGGTTAGGACTATAGTCACTGGAGTTTAGAAGAATAAGATGGGAGGCAGGGTAAATGCAGGGAGGATGTTCCTGATGACCAAGGAGTCCAGAACCAGGGGGGTCACAGTCTCAGGATACAGGGTAGGCCACTTAGCACTGAGATGAGGAGAAACATTTTCACCCAAAGAGTGGAGAACCTGTGGAATTCTCGACACAGAAAGTGAATGAGGCCACAACTTTGAACGTTTGCACGAATGAGTCAGATATAGTTCTTAGGGCTAAGGGGATCAAAGGATATGAGAGAGAAAGTGGGAATAGGAGATTGAATGGAATGATCAGCTATGATCATATTGAATGGGACAGCAGCGTCAAAAGGCCGAATGGCCTGCTCCTGTTCCTATTTTCTCTGTTTCTAAGCTCCAATGAGTATTGACCTAACGTGCTCAGACTTTCCTCATAAGACAAATCCTTTCATCAAGATTCTTAGGCGAGTTGACAGCATAGATGTGGAAAGGTTGATTCCTCTTGTGGGAGAGTCAAGGAGCAGGGGGCTCAGAATAAGATGTCGCACATTTAAGACAGAAATAAAGTAGGAATTTTTTCTCTCAGTGGGGAGTGAATCTGTGGAATTCTTTACTGCAGAGGTCTGTGTTGTCAAGTATTCAGAGCTGAGACAGACAGATTTTTAATCAGGAAGAGAATCAAAGATATGGGGAAAAGGCATGAATGTGGAGTCGAGGATTATCAAATCAGCCGTGATCTCATTGAATGGTGGCGCAGACTCGATGGGCTAAATAGTCTGTTTCTGCTCCTCTGTCATATGTTCTCAAGGATAGTTGCTCACAGCAAAACTCTTGAGAAAACTCAGAGGAATATTGAAAAAAATTTGCTTTTTTAGAAATTTCAAATATTGCAGATGACTTAGAGTAACCAGAGGCTGTTTCAGTTTGAATGAAGATGACACCAATTGGTTAATAGTCTGTCTCTGGAGGATGGAGGAAGGGCCAATGTGGGGTGAGGGGCAATGGGCTGCACTGAGGTAGCAGCTCATGTGGTGAGGCCTCCAGGGCAGTGTCAAAGTGTTGTTGGTAACCTTCAGTGCCGCCGGGTCCAACTCCCTTACCAACAGCATGCACATGGACTGCTGTGGCTCAAGAAGACACGTCAGCACCATCTTTGTGAGGGCAACTAGGAAAGGGCAATGAATGCTGAGCCCAGCCACCAATGCTCACATCAATTTAATAAGCACACCTCCAGTCACAGTTATTGCTTTGTAAAGGTTTCAGTGAACAGTAATAGGGTTTACTCTCAGCTAGCACTTCCCACCTCCCCAGGGAAGGCTGCACTAATCTGGGCACTGGAGTTGGGGTTGAACTCTCTCGGCTACTGTCTATGCGTGTGTGTGCATTTGTAGCAGTCTGAGACAGAGCTCCTGCCTTTACACTCACTCACCCCTGTCCTGACTTCCAACGAGGTACATCCCAGATTCCTGGAATATTGGGACATCCTCTTGATTTCCGTCCACGTCCTCGCCCACCTGGAGTGTCCGCACCTGGACAAGGAGACTGTTTTCCAGGGAGTGAATGGGAAGCTGCTGGCTCCGAGTATCTCAGGGACTGCTTCCTGCTCAGAGTGAAACAGAAACTAAAGCTGCAAGACTTTAAACAGAAAGATATTTCTCAAAGAACAGCGCCCGTGCAATTGATCAAGAAGCATCTGTATAGTTTTCAATCCTTTCAATCCTTAACTCTCAGAAGATTTTTCTCTAACTGTGCTGTATCCCAGTGTGATTTATATCTCAACAAAAAATTATAACAAGTCTCTTCAATTGAAACTGTGACATTTTCAATTCTTGCATTTGAAACTCCCTCTCCATCTTGTGGTCAAAACTAGGAATTGAAATATTTCAAATGTGAATTGTGTTTGGCACTAAAGAGAAAAATGTCTTGATGTTCAAATACTACACTTAACACGTTTCCGTTTATAAAAGTAGATGCGTATTGAAACCTCCAGATTAAAATAATAAAGCCTCATAGAACAAGCTAAGGCTGACAGATGAGACCCAGAGGCAGTTTGAGGCAATGAGCTGTGGCAGTGGGTGAGAGACAGTCGCCTCATTCTGCCCACAAAGAGGCAGGCTGCTTGTTCAAACAGCCCAATGGACACAAGCCAATTGCAAATGCAGAACAAGAAAGGCCTGTATCTCGGCTTCAAAGCCTTTGTTATTTCAGAGATCCAAACACATCAAATAATTTAGTGTAGGAGTTGGATGCCATTTTGTAGCTGTACAGGACATTGGAGAGGCCACTTTTGGAATACTGTGGACAGTTCTGGTCACCCTGCTTTGGGAAGGATGTTATTGAATTGGAAAGGGTGCACAAAGGATTTACCAAGATGTTATTGGGATTGGAGTGTTTGAATTATCACCATAGAGTCATACAGTAATACAGCATGGAAACAGGCCCTTCGGCCCAAATTGTTCCATGTTGACCATAGTGCCCACTCAGCTAGTTCCAATTGTCCACATTTAGTCCATATCCCTCTAAACCCTTCCCATCCATGTACGTATCCAAATGTTTTTTAAATGTTGCTATTGTACCTGCCTCAACCACCTTCTCAAGCAACCCATTCCATATATACACCACTCTCTGCATGAAGAAGTTGCCCCTCGGTTCCTTTTTAAATCTTTCCCCTCTCACCTTAAACCTATGTCCTCTAGTTTTCAATTCCCCATCCCTGGGAAAAAAACTAATACGCATTCATCCTATCTATGCACCTCATGATTTTATACACCTCAATAAGGTCACTCCTCATTCTCTTACGTTCCAAGGAATAAAGGGCCTATAACTTAAGTCTAGTAGTCTTGGTAACATCCTTGTAAATCTTCTTTGCACACTTTTTAGTTTAACTATGTCTTTCCTGTAACAAGGTGACCAAAACTATACACAATATTTCAAGTGCAGCTTCACCAACGACTTATACAACTGTAACACAACGTCCCAACTCCTATACTCAATGCCTCGACTGATGAAGGCCAGCATGCTAAATGCCTTCTTCACCACCCTGTCCACCTGTGACACCGCTTTCAATGAACTATGTACTTGTACACTTAGGTGCCTCTGTTCCACAACACTCCTCAGGACCTTACCATTTACTCTATAAGTCCTACATTGGCCTGACTCTCCATAGTGCAACACCTCACATTTATCCGTATTGAATTGTATTTGCCAATCCTTGGCCCACTTCCTATCTGATCAAGATCCCTCTGCAATTTTTGAAAACCTTCTTCGCTATCAACGATACCTCCTAATTTTGAATCGTCCACAAACTTACTAATCATGCCTAAATAAGTTCTGAGGAGGGTCACCGGACCGGAAACGTTAACTCTGTTTTTTCCCTTCACAGATGCTGCCAGACCTGCTGAGCTTTTCCAGCAACTATGTTTTTGTTACTAATCATGCCTAGTGCATTCACATCCATATCATTTATATAAACAAGTAACAAAGGTCCCAGCACCAACCCCTGTGGCACATTACTAGTCACAGGTCTCCAGTCCGAGAAACAACCTTCAACCATCACCCTCTGCTTCCTACCATCGAGCCAATTTTGATTCCAATTAGCTAGCTCTCCGTGGATCCCATGCGACCTCATCTTCATGATTATCCTGCCATGTGGGACCTTGTCAAAGGCCTTACTAAAGTCCACATAGACAACATCCACTGCCCTACCCTCATCCATCCTCTTGGTTACTTCTTCAAAAAGCTCTAAAAGATTTGTCAGACATGACTTCCTGCGCACAAATCCATGCTGACTATCCCTAATCAGACCTTGACTATCCAAATGTTGGTTGATTCTAAGTGTCGTCTCCAATAACTTGCCTACCACTGATGTCAGGCTCACTGGCCTGTAGTTCCCTGGCTTGTCTTTGCTACCTTTCTTAAACAATGGAACAACATCAGCCACCTTCCTGTCTTCCAAGATGAAGCAAAAATCTCTGCAAAGGCCTCTGAAATTTCTTCCCTAGCCTCCCACAACGTCCGAGCATGGACCTGATCAGGCGCAGGGGATTTATCCACCTTAATGCACTTTAAGGCTGTAAACACCTCCTCTCTGGTAATGTGTATGCAGTCCAAAACATCCCCATTTGTTTGCCTATTTCCTTAGCATCCATAATTCTCTCCTCAGTAAAACACTGAGGAGAAATATTCATTAAGAATCTCCCCCATCTCCTGTGGCTCCACACAAAGATGGCCATGCTGATCTTTAAGATTGGGACTTTTTATCCCTGGAGCATAGGACGCTGAGGGGTGACCATATAAAGGTTTATAAAATCATGAGGGGCATAGATAAGGTGAATAGCAAAGGTCTTTTCCTCAGGATAGCAGAGTTCAACACTAGAGGATGTAGGTTTAAGGTGAGAGGAGAAAGATTTAAAAGGGACCTGAGGGGCAACTTTTTCATGCAGAGGGTAGTTTATATGTGGAATGAGCTGCCAGAGGAAGTGGTAGAGATGGGTGTAATTGCAACATTAAAAAGACATTTAGATGAATAGGAAAGATTTAGAGGGATATGGGCCAAACGCAGGCAAATGGGAAATCTGGTTGACATGGACGAGTTGGACCAAAGGGTCTGTTTCCATGCTGCATGGCTCTGTGACTTAAGACATCTTAGGGAGAAATTTACTGAGATGTCAGGGGCAGAAGGCTGTGGAAAGCATTACAATATCGGGGATGAGGGTGCTGGAGGGGTCATGTCACTGGGCTGGGGGTCCAGAGCTCCAGGACAGTGCTCAGAATCACAGAATTGTTACGGTTCAGAGGGAGACCATTCAGCCCATTGTGCCTGCACTCCATATCCCAGCAGCAATGTCCTTTTCTATCCAAATAATCATCCAACACCTTTTGAATTTCTGTATTGAACCTCTGTCGCCACATTTCCTGGAAGTGCTTTCCATACCCTAACAATTGTCCATGAGGAAAGTTTTTTTTTTCTCACATCACCCTTTCTTCAGTTGCATATCACTTTAAATCTATGCCCTTCTCATTTGTGTTCATTTTACAAGGAGGAACAACTTCTCCCTATTTACTCTGTCCAGGTGGCTCGTGGTTTTGAAACTCTTATTAAATCTCTTCTCAGCCAGCTTCTCTCCACAGAGGACTATCCTCCTCACTGAAGTGAACATGCCTAGATTTTTGTAAATCATTTCTGCACTCTCTCCAGTGCTTTCACAATGCATTAACTTTGGGTTTAAATGGCAGCCTCAAATTCAATGAATAAACCTGGTGTATCAATCTAATTTCACAATTCTTGTAAAATGCATTCATCAATGCCTACTTGAGTGCCTCAGATGAACATGCCACCACCACATTTGCAGGCAGTGCATCCTAGACCCACTGGGGAGGCGAGCCTGCCCTCCTCACCCGATTTGACCTCCATGTGACTCCAAACCCGGCTGACTCTTAAATGTCTTTTGAGGTGGCTGAGTGAGCCCTTCATTTCAAAGGCAATTAGGGATGGGAACACCCAAATCCAGTGAGAGAATGTATTTTTAAAAGTCATCAAGACTGGAGCTCACAAAGACATGAAGCGGAGTTTCAGATGATGCTCACTGACAAATTTACTTTGATAACATTCCTGAAAGTTATGGTTCACGTAGAAAGATAGAAAATAGGAGCAGGAGTAGGCCATTCAGCCTTTCAAGCCATTCAGTATGAACATGACTGATCATCCAACTCAGTACCCAGTTCCCACTTTCTTCCCTCATGCTTTGGTCCCTTCTGCCCTAGGATCTATATCTAACTTCTTCTTGAAAACATTCTGTGTTTTGGCTTTAAGCACTTTCTGTGACAAAGAATTTCACATGCTCGCCACTCTCTGGATGAAGACATTTCTCCTCATCTCAGTCCTAAAAGGCTATCCCAAATACTTGAGTTATAACCCCTGGTTCTGGACTTCCCAGTCATCAGGAACATCCTTCCTACGTTTACCCTATTTAGTCCTGTCAGAATGTTATAGGTTTCTATGAGATCCACAAAACTCTTCATTCTTCTGAACTCCAGTCAATATAGTCTGAACTGATCCGGTATCTCCTCATATGTCTCAGAATTACAGATATGTGACAGCACAGAAGGAGGCCACTCTGTTCTCTATGTCTGCACTAGCTCTTCAAATAAGCATTGTTACCGACTGACAACTCCTGCTTCCCACTCCCATGCCCTTGCACATTAATTCTATCTAAATAATCACCCCCTCTTCAAGCCTCCATTGAATGTAGAATGGTACAGTTTTGAGAAATATTGAAGGGAAGGTCAACTTGTTGGCTGTCAGAGAATGGGTGTGGTTGAGGTGAACTTTTGGGGGATTTATTTTTGGACAGGAGGTGAGGTCAGGAATTAATCTAAGGGTCAGTTGTCACTGTAAAGTTACAAATGTGGTGGTTTAGCCTCTGGTAGATGTGAGGGAGGGGAACAGAGCCTGGTGGTGACATGGATCAGTGTTAGCAGCTGGAATGAAGATGACAGATGCTAACTTGGTGAAAGGTTTCTGCTCAATCACTTGATGGTGTTGGATAAGGTGGTCCTGAGCTCAACCCTGTTCTCCTCAATGTACAGAGGAGTATTAAC